GTAATGAAAACCATTACATAAAGTTTTCATTACATGCCAAACATTATATCATGATTTTGAGTTGTTCCATTATGGATAAATTGGTCTCCACTGTTTATAAAGATGTATGTAACTCTAGCACATGTATAGAATGTCCTAAGAGGACTCAATCCAAGATTAGAACTATTGAATCTCATCATCCCAAATCTGCATTGGCACATTCATATATCACTACACTCAGATTTTATTAGTGGAACCCTAGGTTTTGCCAGTAAAGTTGGATTATTTCTTACCCTCCCTGCTATAGATAGTAGGGAGGGTAAGAAATGTTATGTACAATTAACAAGAAAGAATATAGAAAATAGATTGAAGGAATAAACAGAGAAGAGGGTTACAATGGCATTGACTGAGCAAACAAGCTTTGAGAAATGAGTTTACTGTGAAAAGGAAACAGGCAGGATGTTTAAATCATAAATATATAACAAGTAAATGTATAGTACTTGTAGTTTATATCAGTGTTGTGAAGTTTGAGTCTGACTTTTTGGTTGGAGTCAGTAAAATTCTTTTGATTCTGAGCCCGAAGTTTATTATTGGTAAAATGGGAAGTAAGAAAAATACTTTTTAATTAATTAGAATCTAAAGAAATTTTTTTAGAAAATAGACACTTCAATAAATTTAGATATCAAAATGATATTAACTCATAAAGGCCATTTTACAGCAAAATGTTATGCACATCTCATATGACATGCTCTATACTTTCAGAAAATAGTTTTTATTAGTTTAAGGTCCACCAGTGGCTGAGTGGATAAAACCACTGAACACTTGTAGTTAGTCATGGGATCACACTTGGAAAGTAAACACTTACAGTATCTCTTCAAATCACCAAGCTTATCTTTACTAAAGAGAAGCTCCCAAGAAAAATTTTACTTTAATTTGAGTGCCATAATTTTTACATGGCACAATATATAAGGACCTTGAATAAGTTCTTGCTGTTTTTTTGTGAAAATTAACACTTTATTTAAAAAAAGTCGTAATAAACACGTCACTGAAAGTATTGTCCATCACTAGCCACTACTTTCTCCCGTCGTTCTGGCAGCATTTGAATTCCACGTCGGAAAAATGACACGTCTATTGAGGCTATCCAAGAATCAACCCATTTTTTGGCATCTTCATAAGAACGAAAGTGCTGCTCAGCCAGGCCATGTGCCATCAATCAAAACAAGTGATAATCAGAAGGGGCGATGTCTGGTGAATACGGCGGGTGGGGTAGGACTTCCCATTTAAGCGTTTTCAAGTACGTTTTCACCGGTTGTGCAACATGTGGCCGAGCATTGTCATGTTGCAAAATCACTTTGTCGTGTCTCTGCTCATATAGCGGCCGTTTTTCCTTCAATGCTTGGCTCAAATGCATCAATTGTGATCGATAGCGATCTCCCGTGATGTTTTTGTTTGGTTTGAGCAGCTCGTAATAAACTACACCTAGCTGATCCCACCAAATGCAGAGCAGAAGCTTCGAACCATGGATATTCGGCCTTGCTGACGATGTTGATGCATGACCAGGCTTACCCCACGATTTTCTAAGCTTAGGGTTATCGTAGTGTATCCATTTTTCATCACCTGTCACGATACGATGCAGAAAACCTTTCCTTTTCTGCCGTTGAAGCAGCTGTTCACATGTGAAAAGACGCCGTTCGACATCTCTCGGCTTCAACTCGTATGGCACCCAATGTCCTTGCTTTTGAATCATTCCTAATCCTTTTAAACGTTTCGAAACTGTTGTGTGATCAACTCCTAATGATTCTGCAAGTTCAGCTAGCGTGACATGAGTCTTCATGAAGTAATGCCTCTAATTCCTTATCTTCAAACTTTTTTGGTGCACCAGATCGTTCTTTATCTTCAACATCAAAATCATTATTTTTGAAGCGTCTAAACCAATCTCTGCATGTTGTTTCCGACAGAGCATGGTCGCCGTAAGTCTCAACAAAAATTCTGTGTGCTTCAGCTGCAGATTTTTTTTGAATAAAATAGTGCAATAAAATTCCCCGCAAATACTCTTTTTTTGGCATGAAACTAGACATGTTTAACACAATGAAAAAATAAGTTGTTTACACTTCGGTGAAATGATATATACTGAATTTCAAGGTCGCTTATTGTACTTCCTTACAGATGCATCACCATCTAAAAATAAACACACGTGGTTCTGGTAATGCCATCTGTTGGAAAACAGTGAGAACTTATTCAAGGTCCTTATATTTTTTTACATCTCAGATGTTTTACTTTGGATATTAATTGTTTTTTTGAGCAATTTGACTAATTAATTTTTTACTGCCCTTCTATTGGTTTTGAGTTGTTCGTGACTATTATAGCTTCAATAACATAATTTAGTCTTAAAAAACTCAATAAAAAATGATGAAAAAAATAAAATCCAGATCAGAATCTAACTGCAACAAACTAAAAGAGGATGAGAAAACTGCAAAATGTAATTAATAGGATTGTTTCAGCTTATTATTCACTAGTTTAAGTTCTTGGGGCTGATTGCATCTTCGGTTCAAGATGATTGATTTTTTTTCCAAATCTCTTATTTTAAAATTCTACTGTATACTTCAGTTTAGTTAACTGTCAATAGGAAATTAACTATTCCTGTTGGAGCTAGAGTGGGAGAAACTAATTTATGGACCAATTTATTACAGTAGACCCCCCTATAACGCTTAGATACGTTCCACGCTAACCGAAAATTACGTTGTAGGAATGACTAAATACATGAGCCAATCGCAGCCCGATAGGTGTGAACTTTACGGACTAAGGCTGTTCGAAAGGTTTTCTTCTATAAAATTAACCGATTCTAGACTAATTCCACTCAACATTTCCAAAATACGTATAATTTTTTGGGAATAATCTGTATAAACTATGCTATAAACAAAAAATTGTAGGATTACTTACACCGTTCGACTACGCCGTTGCTTAAAGCTGGTTTTCATCGCGGAACAGCACGCGAAACGACGGCCGCAATTTCTGATAACGAATTTTTGGCGGAAAAATAACTTGACCTTTGGAGACATCATTAATATAAATAATTTTTATGGACGTTGAATAAGAAGTGTTTCTTTCACAAGAAATGTATAAAATTAGTGCTGTATTAGACTTACGGTACCTAATTTACATACTGTGCAGACGATAATAAACTCAACTTACTAGCCTAAAATCTCCGTAGCGTGTTGCCAGGCGGCAGAAAGCATATATATAATTATAATAAAGTTACAATAAATTAAGTTAATATATAATTATATATACAGTACCTAATTTATATATAATTAATATATAATTATATGTACAGTACCTAATTTATATATAATTTATATATAATACTAAACAGACGATAGCAAACTCAATTTAGCCGCTCCGTAGCGTGGCGCAGGGTCGGAGGAAAGTAGTTCGGCTGCTCATCCACTATTGGTCCAGACTCTATCAATCTTGTCGCGAAACGACGTTATAGGAGGTACGTTTTACGAAAGTTGCTACAATTTTTTCGCTACGTTATAGGAATTGTCGTTATAGGAACGTACGTTATAGGGGGGTCGACTGTATGTCATTCATCAAATTGTTATTTTTTTCATTTTATTGTATTTAAGTTTTTTTCTTGAAAATAATTAAATTTAAATCAATTTTTCATAATTAACTAACAAAAGTGGAATTTTTTTGGCAATTAAGATGTAGTGTGTTTCTTTATGTACTTGAGTTTTTTCAAGGTAAGTTCATTATATCCATTTTTCGATTTGCATCAACAATTTTAGTACGACTTTTTATAGAGAAATTTTACATTAAAATATTCGGATATTTGGTGGTATCTCTCTTACAAAAGAAATTGTAATATGACATTTTAAAAAAGGGTAAGGTTAAAATTGGAGTTGCACATTGCAAATTTGCCAGAGTCAGAGTCAGACTTTTTGTTTACCAAATCCACCATACTGGTTTATACAGATAACAAGTTGAATGAAGCTTTCCAAATAAATGCATTCTAAGCTATACCAATATTTACTTGGAAAGTTTTGTTCAATTTATTATTCATTTATAATATTATATATTTATTCATGTTTATTTACATGTATTTATTTTAAATTTTATTTTAATTAATTCATTGCTTTTTTTTAAAAATAATGTAAATTTAAAATATTTTATTTTTGGAATGTTTTAACTTTCAGCTTGATTCACATTTTATAATATATTCTGCTGAAAGCTGTTAAGTAGTTCAATAATTTGATTCTATGAAGCTTGAAGATGGCCTTTATACTAGTTTATTTTTAAAAGAAATAAAATATATATTTATATGTAAAAATATTTACATATATATGATCAATATACAGGATATTGAAATTCTCCCTATAGTCTGAAAATGGTTTTCTGTTAACTATACATATGTTGGAATATTCTGTTTCAATTATTATGTTTTTAATTCATGTATGAGATGATAAATTGAATGAGATAATTTGTTTTTAACTTTAAAAAACTGTTTACAGCATTTAATAGTCCATTTTGATTAATTGTAATAGTAGTTTGATTAGTTTATTTTCATTATATTGTTTGAATATATTTGTTTTAAGATAAAATTCTAAACAATGTAGTAATAAAAACAGTAAAATCAGATATAATAAATAAGAACAATTTAAATTTTTGAATTTTTTTCAGAACTTTACCTTTTCATATAATTAGTATGATAAAGAATTATATTGATAAATATAAATTATAATTTTTTCTGACAACTCTCTTATTTATATATAAATATGTATTTATGTAGTATACATAAATTGTGTATAGATGTATGTAAAATTGTGAAATTTTAAATAATAATTTATATTGAATGAGCATATTTTTAAGTTTTTAATTTAAATATGATACAAGATAATGTTTCACAAATCTCAGTTAAACATATAAATTAATTATTTAATTTAATTTATGCATGTGATTTGGGTGGTTTATCCATATAAATTCACTTGCATTAGATTGTGTGCGCTAACTTTTTTCAGGAGGATCCACGAAAGGTCACCGACATCATATCCCACTACTCTAATGATCAGTGTGTGATCCAGACCTTGCACAGCTCCCATGACAATACTCAGCTGCAGCTCCCACCCCAACAGCCTCAGCCTCAGCCACAACCTGATCACTCCCCATCATCCCATCATTCTCAACATCAAAATGTGCGAGACATGGACATTATTCATGTAGGTCCCCAGTGTACCAGCTGTTTATTATAATTGTCTGGTATCAATTACTCAAAACTGGGGATAAGATTTTAAAAAATTTTATGCTTGTAAAATTTATTGCAAGTAGAATGAGCACTGGCCAGCAAAATTAATAAAACCTTTATTTTATATTTCTTGACTGTTCTGGATCAGATACTGATCATCTCTATTTCTGTCTCTTCCTTATGTTAACTGATTATTAATTCTGAAAATTTAGTTTAGGATTTTATTTTAGATGCACCTTAATAAAATAGCATTGTATTTAAATACACAGCCTTCATACTAGCAATAAAGTTTTAATTTATATTATTAAACTTGTAATATCAATTTAGTTAAATTCTCTTATTCATGCATGAGTTATTTTGTTGTTAAAGCATTGATATTATTGTCTGTATAATTTTATTTAAAATATTATTATTTATTATTATGATTATTATTATTATTTTTAAATATTGCACAATTGCATGGTAGTAGCATGTGAAAATATTATATAAATAAAAATTTGCTATAGTGCTGGCAAAAAAATATCTTTTTCCATCCCCTTTTTGTTGCACTAATTTAAGTGCTTATTTACATTAATTATATTTAATACTTAAGTGATTGTGCTTACTGTAAAATATTATTGCGACAAAGAAATTCTTATATTAATTTTNACTGTAAAATATTATTGCGACAAAGAAATTCTTATATTAATTTTATCAATTTGTTACTATTTTATATATACATAAATTAATTATTGAAAATAATTTATATAATAAATTAAAATAAAAAAAATGTCCTCCAAAAATTTGAAGTTACTATTAGAAATAATAGCTAAATTTCTGACATTTTAACATAAAAAGTCAACAATATTTTGTCATATATTCAAAATTAAACAAATATAATTTCATATTAACTAATAAATTAATGTATATAATATTTGTTTCAAAATTTAACTGAATATAAAAATATTCATGTAAATTACAGTAAAAATTCTGTAACTCAAACATCTTTAACTTGAAGAAAACGAAGCACTTGGTGAATCTCAATGGAATAGCATAGGGATTTAATGTCTCCAGCTTGAATTTCTTAATTCAAATTTTCTCCAAAGTTGAAGTTTTCCATGGTCCCTGATATTGATTTATGTTAATTTCAACTTCCCCAACTCAAATTTAAATATTTATTCTGTCCAAAGTGATCCTAATTATCAGATTTCCATGAAATTTTCAGACAGTTGTATCTACTGTCCAAGACCCATTTGCAGACAATGTTCCAGTCCAAAGTGAGAGGTCCTCTCACTTTATCTCAACAAGATGTATCTGCAACACTGTTCAATTCCATTAGTTACATTGAACATTTTGCTGAAAGGCATTACACATGCTATTTAAAAAAAAGAAAAACTATTAAAAATTCTTTATATAGTGCAAGAGAAGTAAAAATACAAATCTATTCAGAATTGGCAGTTTTTACTCTATTTTTCTTTAACTCGAATCGTTCTTAACTTGAAGCTTTGAGTTAGAGAAATTTTACTCTATTAAAAGTTAGAATATTTTTTCAGAAAACAGCATTTGTTGAGTTTTACATTAACCATAAAACTCAACAAATGCTGTTTTCTGAAAAAATATTCTAACTTTTACATACTGTCCTGTATAGAAAATCTGCTACAGAAGAGTATATATAAATCATTAAACCTGAGCACTATACGTTCATGATGGGTATGCAAATGTTTAACAGTGTTAAGTAGAATAAAATTTTTGTTTCAAGAAGTAGTTCATATATATAATTTTTTCATATATACTGTATAGTAAATGTAACACTTTTACTTAAAATAGTAAATGCACAATTATTGATAAATATGCTGTAAAAATTTCAAGATATAAAGATATGATGTCAATACTCAAAACAGAATGCTTAATTCAGGAATCAAAATTTTATTTACTTAGAGAAATTTTTTCTCTTTTAAGAATTGCTTCAGCTCTACATTTGGAACAAATTTAATTCATTCTTTTGGATTTGAACAGCTTTAAGAATTACATAGATATTCTTAAAACTGTTTGATTTTCATAGTCAACAGAAAAGTCAGAAATAGTTAATTCAAATGTTTTCATTCATTTGATCTTGGAAGTCTGAAATCAAAATATTATAAAAATAAGTTTATTACTTTTATTGTTTTTTAATTTTAAATGGCTTGATTTAAATATTTAGTATAATTTGATCATAACCAAGATTTATTGATATCTTGGATAAAAACTATAAACGCAATAATTTGAATTTATATTATTACAAAAATATCTATCAGATTTAGTAAAAAATGTATATACTGTATATGAAAATTTTGAAGTTAGTAGAATAGTTTTAAAGTGTAATAATAAAACATATTTATTATAATAGAATGCCATCAATAATTCTCACAATCACTTAAGTGTTAAATTTATTTTTTATAATAAAATTTAACTTTAATCATAGTTTTTAAAAATTAAAAATTTGAAATTATTAAATATGTATTAAAAATTAATAATCTATTTCAATAATTTTATTATTAACTCAAATATAATTTATTAATCTAATTATCTTTTTGGATTTCTGCCTTCTTGAAAATGTATTGGCATTTCATGTTTCAGGTAATATATTTGTATTAAATTATTTTGGGTGACTAATATATTTTAAATATTTTCTATCTTTTTTAATTTTAGTTTAAACAAAATTTATAATCATTGATATATAATTATGTATTATATAACTATTTTATTTGCATATTTTTTAAATTTAATTAATTACTATTTAATTTTATGCTTTTTAATTTAATAAATGAAAATAATAAAGTTGATAAGCATCTTTATTATATGAAAAGAATGAATTTATGTATAATATTTTCAGACTAGTTCTATTTATATTAAATTTATCATATTTCAGCTTAAAAATTAATTTTAAAATGTTATAATTTTAATTACAATTTGAATTTAAATTGTATATTTTTTTTTATCCTTTATAATCTGAAATGTTAGATATCAATCATTTCTGCTAGGAAATCTTTTTCTGCCATTCATTAGAACTTTGAACTTATCTCACAGAATATTGGTGTTGTATTAAATAAATCTAACATTCTAAAAAAGAAAATGCTGACATTTTGAATGAGAAATGAATTTTGGAGTCTGAAAAACTTTTTCCCATTTTTTACTGGAAAATAATTTTTAAAACTACTGGAAAAAGAATTCTGTTAAAAATATTGAGTTTTGCTGTTTTGCTCCAGTGTTGTTTAATGATATGAATGAACTCCAGGTTTTGATGCAATTTTCTAAAGTTCTCTGTAAATAATTTGTAACTTATATTTTTAACATATGAAAATAGTTTACTACTGTAATCTCATACACTAAGTTCATTTTGTACTTATCATTGTTTAATGGTTATATTTATATTTATAATAACATATACATCAATCTGATTTAATTACTAATGTCAAACAAACTGCTGGATTATTTGTCAGGCTGTAACAAGGCTAATTTCATGATTAGATATAGACCATTAAATATAATATTTATATTTATTGGTCTGAAATATTTAATGGTAAAAATAAAATTACCTGTTACTGTTTCATGTTTTTAAATTTGTATATTTTATTCATTATTATTAAGAACTTACTAGTTTTGCAAACATTAATGGTATTATTCCTACAAATTCTACTGTGAATATCAGTTGCTTTATATCTTTTGAAGAAAAAAAATGTTTTGATGATAAATCAGTTTTATTTAATATCTAAATCTATTTAATTTTATGCATTAAAAATATATCATGATACTATTTTTATCTAAACAAGTAGCAGAATCATATAACATGTAAATGTTACATGATTCATAAAGAGTTGAGATTAAATTCTGTAGAATTTTTGTAGTAATTTTAAATAGTTTATTATACAAAAAATAGCATTACTTTTGGATTTTTTTTACACTTATATTTTTTTAATATGTTAATGCAATTAAGTATTTATCTTATACAATGTTTTATGAAAAGTATTGCTTTGAAATTAGGAACAAAATAATAATGGTTTTGTAATTTATCTTTAAAATGTCTAATACAGTATGTTAAATTACATTGATCTTACTCACTGAAATAAAATGTTTAAGTAGAAGCAGACTTTGTATAGAAAAAAAAATGGTACAATCAAAAGAGGACATTGAGTATGTTGCCAGAAAAATTCAAAATCTAAAAACAAAGAAAGAAAAGAACATTTTATGCACTACTTGTGTCAAAGTTAAATCCTTATTGCCATATGTAAATGTAACAGCATCTGTGATGTTGATTGATTTAAATATCACCTGTCTATTTTTAAAACTATTTATTATTATTTGTTGTATTATTAATTTGCTTTGCATAATTTTAAGCTACATTTCCTTTTGTTTTATGATTGATTATTTTTATTTATTAGAATTTTAAATTATTAGTTACCAGTTATTTAATCAATTGCTCTAATCAAATTTGACATAAATAAAATGTAGCTGTTATAGTTATTGAAATTTTTATCATATTGTGGTAGAAAGATGATTTCAGATTAAATCTATTTTGTAACTTTTACACACGTTTCAACAATACAAATTGCATTTTTTAAGAAATTATTACTAGATCTTGTTTCTAGAATTTATTGTTTTTAGATTAAATAGTTCAAAAATTAATTGTCATTTTTAGAAATCTTCAATATATGTAAATATTTAATAATAAACTATATTATAAAATATTGCACTTATAAGTAATAGTAAATTATCTTATGATTATATTAAATGTAATACTGTAACTTATTTGAGTTTAATGATGAAGACTAATAGTTTTTAGAAATGCATAATTTAATAAAATGAATGATGACTTTATGATGAAGACCAATTTCTGTTATTGCTTTTTATAGATTTACCATGTTGGATATGTAAATAAAATAAGAACCTTAAATTATAAAATATATCAAACTTTAGTATGATTTTCAAAAATAATAAAATATAAAATATTTCTTAAAT